GTCGTGAAACGGGATGGGTCCCCCGTGAGGATTTTCAAGTTCTGTTGACCAGCCATGTCTGGGACTTGTGAGCCCCAGGCAGGTATGTCTTCAGAAACTTGAACCGAAGCATCCTTGACCGTGACACTGTCAACCGGCGCCTTGCCTCGAGTCACTTGTGCGTAAGAGGGTGTAGCAATGTCTGCACTCCCGACTATCCTCCTGGCCTCGGGGAAAGAGACACCTCGGGTATATTTAACCCGTAATATCTCCCTCTCCTGGCTCCAGGTAGGGCAGTCGCGAGAAGAGGCAGCGTGCTTCCCCTCACAGTTGACACAGCGCAGGTTGGCGATGTCACAGTCATTTTGCTCGGTGTGACCCTCACGGCCACAATACTGGCAGATCGATTTTCGTCTACATCGCTTTTCGTGATGACCGTACTTCTGACAGTTTCGGCATCGCAATGGATTTGGGATGTAGACGGAAACGTTGTACCTCTGGTATCCGATTGTTAGTATTTGGGGTAGTGTTGGCGTTGAAAAAGTGATGATGAAGGTGTTTGTTTTGATTGTATCATTGTTTCTCCTGATCACCATCCGCCTCACCTCAGAGACCGGGACGCTCTCCTCCTGGAAATATGCCAGTATGTCTTCATCGGTGTCATTGCGCAAGGCTGGGCACCTGATTACCCCCTTGCTGCAATTAAGTGATGAGTGTGGTTTCACACTGACACCGATGCCGGCAAAACTGGTTGTTCCGAGTAGGTTCATCGCCTGTTGTTGGCGATAAACCTCTATAAGGAGATCGCCCGATCCCAATGGCTTAACGGATTTCACATCCCCTGCGATTCCCTGGATGCCCTTCCTCAACAGAAGTGGCGACAACGCGGCCGTTGTTTTACCACTCTGTGTGGAGGTCATCACAAGGAATTGCGGGAATTGGGTGTTCTGTGTTGCGTTTTGTGTTGTTTTTGAGCTAGGGTCATCGTTCCTGATTTTGGTATGTCCGTCGTTTTGGTGGTTTTTATCTTTACCCATGTGTATATTTGTTTGTTTCACGATCTATGCCTCCACCCGCCACGGAGCCCAACAAGGGGACACTGGTGTGACGCGGATATCCAGCGCCAAGTGTCGGAGATACATAGAATAGTATACTCGTAAGAATATACATACTATTTGAAAGAGTATACTCTCGCGATGGATGGACCCTCTTTTATGTCACCAATTAACACAGAGGATCTCACAAGTGCTTCCCCTTTAGACATCTGCTTCTCGCTTGCTCTTCTTGCCGGGCATACCTTCTGGTGTTTACTGTTATATAACTCTATTTTTACCCATTGCAGACAATTTGGGCAAGGCCCATATTCATCCGATTTGAAAGTGCCTCTTTTCATTGCAATGATCAACTCTCCTTTCCCTGCCTTCTTCACGGAGAGTTTGTTTGTTTGTTTGTTTATGTTTAACGGCCCATCGACGGCTGTGGTCATTTAGGGCCATGGTGATTTGTTTATTTTTTTTATTTTTTTTAACAAACATGTGAATAGCGAAGATAAAATCAGATAAAAATGGTTCATTTTAAAAGCATTCGCATTGTATGTGTAGATAATAAAAAATAAAAATAAACAAGAGGCCCAAGGGCCTTAGCGGTCACCTGAGTTATATCATAGGTACTGGTAGCTTTATTTTATTGTTTAGATGTGATGTGGAAATCAGCATGTAAACTAAGTGAAATACAATACTTGTCATGTCATCAAAGGATAAGAATTTTAAAATATTTGTAAATGTTCCCTTTGGGGCCCCGCTCAAACCCCTTGGGATGGGGCAGAAATTCCAAGTTTACAATGTGATACCGTCATCCACCAAAGATGATTCTGACCAAGTAAAAATAATTTCCAACAGAAAATTGTCAAAAAATACCCAAAAGTGTTGTTTCCCTATATAAACTATAGTAAACTTTACCCCCTCCCCAAGGGAGAACGGATAGCTCAGGGGTCCTGAAATTTACAATTTAAATAAAGCCCCTGATGATCTTTCCATCCATCCAGAGAAAATGACTAGTATAGGACTGTGAGTCTGGAGAAGAAGATTTTTGAAATATTGGTTAATTATCCCTATGGGGCCCCGTCCTGGCCCCTAGGGTTGGGGAAGGAATCCCAATTTCACAATTTAAAACCATCTTCCTCCTCCAAGGATAATTTTCACCAAGTAAAAATAATTTCCAACAGAAAATTGTCAAAATATACCAAAAAGTGTTGTTTCCCTATATAAACTATAGTAAACTTTACCCCCTCCCAAAGGGAAAACGGATAGATCGGGGGTCCTGAAATTTACAATTTTAATAAAGCCCCTGATGATCTTTCTATCCATGCAGAGAAAATGACTGTAATACCTCTGAGTCTGGAGAAGAAGATTTTTGAAATATTGGTTAATTTTCCCTTTGGGGCCCCGCCCTGACCCCAGGGGTTTGGGTAGCAATCCCAATTTTACAATTGTGTAGCCTCATCTACCAAGAATGATTATGACCAAGTTTGAAAAATATCCATCCACTGGTTGTTGAGAAGAAGTTGAAAGTGTAAAAAATTACGCACAACGGACGGAAAGTGATCGGAATAGAAACCTGAATCAAACACACATTTTGAGATCTTTGAGGCCATTGCAATATATTGCAATGATATTTTGCAATACTTTGTCGACTCTTGGTTTTGTTTTAAAACACTTATCTTTCTTTATTTTTTTATCATGGGTGGTCTCAGCAGTTGGCAAGAAGGAAGGGAAAAGGTCCTGTGATAAACGTCAATTTTTTAATTTTTTTTGCAGTTTTATCTCTTCAAAAATGTTAAAACTCTTAGAGAATATGCATAACAACGAAGCTGAGGTAGCTAAAATACTGGCAACGCCAAAGAACGAAAAGAGATGTGGACACTACTAAGAAATCGTTGAAATTTTGAGCATAATTTGAAAGCCATTAGAAATGGAGGAGACATCATTGTTGATAGACGTTCAGGAAAAATTAAGGCTATAGATGATTTCCTTCCATGCCCATATTGTTTAGTCTTTGTAGTACAGGAAGACATCTAGCGACATACTAAGAAGTGCCCTGCAGTTGATGTTGAGAGGGATGAAAATCCGTAAAACTGTCAGCAACTTCTTCTCAAAGGCTCTACTAGCAACTCTGATGAAGACAAAGAGATTATGACAATCCTAAATGGCATGAAAAATGATGAAATTACGGAATCCATCAAACATGGCAAGATCTTGCTCATTTTGAAGCAAATCTGTTAAAGAAAGTTGGAAAGTTGGTTTGGTTTTATTTTGTTTAACGTCCTATTAACATCTTAAGTCATTTAAGGACGGCCTGCCCTGTGTGCAAGATGCATGCGTGTAGTGTATGTGTGTGTATTTTGGGAGGCTGCGATATGTTCGTGTTATTCTCCTTGTGATAGCGCGGAACTGATGCCGACTTTATAGTGCTACCTCAATGAAACATACCGCCGAAGACACCCAGCAGGACGCCCCACCCGGTCACATTATACCGACAACCGGCGAACCAGTCGTCCCACTCCTAATTTGCTGAGCGTTAAGCAGGAGTTGAAACAGCCATTTTTAAAGACTTTGGTATGTCTCAACCAGGGGACAGAACCCAAAGCCTTCCACAGGGGCGAACGCTCAACAAATGGCCAAAAGTGAGGCATTGTCAAGGGAGACATTAGGAAGAAAAAAGTTGTTTAGAAAGGAGATAAGAGATACGATCCCAAATTAAGTCGCAAGGACAGAAAAGCAAGTGTGAGACAGAAGCTTCGTGAGCTTGGGAGAGTGTTGTTGGTGCTGACACCTAAAAACCCCAAACTATGCCGTATAATCATTATTTTGCATCTGGCAACTTCGACACTATTGTGACAGCTGTGAAGAAACCTTGTTATTCATAACAAGGAGAAACGATAAGAGGATGTGAAAAATACGAACGTTCTTCCTTGTCATTGAAACAAGGTCATTCACTAAAAAAACTGGTTCAAATCAAGGTTAGTCAAGCCCTTGGACAGGGAGATGAAAACGGACAAAAATAAGCAGAGAATTACTTAAAACGTCATTAACAGGAATGGTCAGAGCGTATCAGTAGTCAGGCGATGAATACACTTGCAGAGAGAAAGCTCAACCAACCAGATGTCCTTCCTCTTACTGGGGATATTGTTTGTCTGAGGAACTACCTCTTGAAATCAATACCACTAAAGTTGATAGGATTGCAACAGTTCCCTGAAGTGGGAATATGAAGATAACTAGCTTTGCAGGTGCGTTGTAGAGTCTGTATATTTAACAGACGGAGGGGAGGAGAAGTTGGGGCAATATTGTTTAATTCCTACACTGGCAGATGCAAAGCGGATGGCAGTCCAGAACTGACAGCGTTATTGGCGCCGATAGGACAGAAGCTAATGCAAAGGTAACAACTGTAGTGAAGAAATACATTTTGTGGTCTCTATAAGCTTCTAATATAAATATACTTATGTATATATACTAAAACATCATTACTGCGAGAGTAACATAGTTTCTTGACTGGCTTTCACTAAAGAGTCGGACTACAATTTCTCAATAGGTCACTCTATTTGATATTTTGATAGAATTAGTGTCAAGATATGATACAGATTCCAGTTGTAAATGCAAAGCAACATGTCTGCTCCCATATCATGTCGAGACCGTCAACTTCCCGTTTGAAAATGTGCATTAAACAAGGTAAATAAAGAACAAGATCCCTTTTTCAATAATATTCAGAATATGAAATAAACAAGAGACCCAATGGGCCTACATCGCTCACCTGGTATTAATCCCACACTTGCAATCTTAAAAGTGGACTAAAATACAGCTACATGCACAATATCAGTGTTTGATTCACAAGAACCTATTAAAAGATTTAAACAAATGACGAACTTGATAGCCCTTCATCCCAGCAAGCTACAGGCGAAATATCAGTACCCTGGGCCTTTGGTTATTGAGAAGAAGTTGTTGGAAGTTGTTTTAAGACATTTGACCCCTGTGACCTTGAAAGTTGGTCAAAGTCATTCATTTGAACAAACTTGGTAGCACTTCATCCTAGCATGCTACAGGCCAAATTTCAGTACCCTAGGCCTTTTGGTTATTGAGAAGAAGTCGTTTAAGACTTTAACATATTTGACACCTGTGACCTTGAACTACGTCAAGGTTTTTCATTTGAACAAACTCGGTAGTCCTTCATCCCAGCATGCCACAGGCCAAATATCACCCTAGGCCTTCCGGTTATTGAGAAGTTGTTGAAAGTTGTTTAAACACATTTGACCCCCGTGACCTTAAAGTGGGTCAAGGTCATTCATTTGAACAACATTGGTAGCCCTTCATCCCAGCATGCTACTGGCCAAATATCATCACCCTAGGCCTTTTGGTTATTGAGAAGTTGTTTAAAGTAAAATATTGACGACAGACGCCGCACCACGGCATAAGCTCACTTGGCCCATTGGAAAGAGTATAAACTTGCACTCAGATGTCCATCCTTCAATTCTAAAAGTCTGACCGAGCATAAGTTCTATACTATTACACCTGGAGAAACCAAAATTTGGAATGCAGGTACATCTTAGACTGGCAGAGAAGGGTTTCAAATATATTGTAGTTGACTTTGAAATCATGACCAGTAGGGGACTAGGGGTTGCATGTATTTACTTTCAAGTTTAATGATTTTCCCGAAATTATTATCAAGATATAATTTTGTAATGTGTGCATGTAATTATTGTTCATACTATATTGTGAACTAACTGTAATGTTACTGTCATTTTGTATGTATATTTGGTCAATTGCATGCACCAACTACATGTTTTAAGAAGAGGCCCTAAGGGCCTGTATCGCTAACCTGAATGTGTTTAAAATAATTGGTTTGAAGTATAGATATAGCACACGGTTTATACAAAATTGGTTCCTCTTCACCTAAGGATGCTTCAGACCAAATATGGAACAAATCCTTTCATTCCTACAGAAGAACACAGATTTTAAAGAATTTGCTATATTTCCCCTATTTGACC